CCAATTATATTTTTTATTTATTTTTATATAAATAGGATAATCATATATTTTGTATACAAAGATGGTAAAATGATAGAAAAATTGTAGGAAAGTTATGAAGGAAATGGAAATAGATTTGTAAGAGAATTAAAGGTAGAATTGATAGAATTAGAAGTGTAATAATGTTTTGATAATAAACAGTTCTTTACCAATTACTACAATTATATTTATAATTATACAATTATAATTGTTATGCCTCTTGCCTTATGATCTTTGAAACCTCAAGTATTTTCTCTATGAACTATAGTATACCACATTGGCATCTGTTATTCAAAGTGTCTTCCTGCTATCAGTTCTCTATTCTATGCTAGTCTTTGAGATTGGATTGGAATATGACAATGTTAAGTTATACATGTAATATAAATTATTTGTTAGTAACTTAATTTTTGAAATTTTTAAAAATAATTGTGTCATAATTCAATTATTTATGTGTTTTAATAGTGATTTAAATAATTGTATTAATTGCATCAACAATTTATTAATTTTAACATATATATATTATTGATAATAAATATTTTTCAAATAAGCAAAAAAATTAAATTGTTTTAAACTTAAATATAGGTTTTTAAATTAAAATAAAGACTAGAATTTTTAACAATGCCATTTTAATATTACATTGGTATTGAATTTACTATAAGTTTAACATAATGAGTTATAATTTATATATTAAATATATTAGTTATAATTATAATTTTTCTTATAATCAATATTTTTTTATTATTCAAAAAACCATTTATAAAAAATTTTTAATTTAGATCACTTATTCAAATGTTTTTTGAATTATATTTCTATTGAAATAAAAAGTAAACAATTATTTTTTTTTACAAAAATACAATTGATTTTAAAATTCTATATATTGAATAGGTTTAGACTCATTATTAATTTAATTATAAAAAAATATATTATTTTTTTATTATTGTATATACACTATACAGTATAACTAAAATGTATATAATTGTTATATACAGTATATAACAAGAATATATAATAATTGCTATTTTGATTTTAAATTAAAAATTACTTAAAGCAAATACAATATTTAAAATATATTATACAGCTTTCAATATGTCATATTTATTAATTCAATATCATACCACAATTATTTCAAAAATTGTATAAAACTTAAAAAGAAAATTAAAATTAAAATGCAACCCAACATTATTGAACGCTTTTTTATATTTCAAAACAATGGTTATATAAACAATAAAGCATAATTTTATAGTTATTCATAATTGCTATCATAAAATTAAAACAAAAAAAAATTAATTTAGGTATTTTTTTCAGTATTACCATACTTGACATGAAATTAAAACCTGTAAAGAAAAGATATTACGATGATAGGCTTGGCACAAATCATCTTTAGATATTCTCTTGGTTAGATTGATCACTGGCATAAATGAACATCTGAGTAATTAATAAATAATAATTTATAAAGTTTTGCAACATATTATATATATTTAAAAAACAGACTTTATAATATATTATCGAAAACCAGTTCCTGAATTACCTGAGTCAAATTGAAAAGAAGAGACACTACATAATGTTATGGACATAGATTTTATTACGTTCTTTACAAATCTCGGAATATAATCACGTCTCAGTTGATCACACCCACGTGTCCCTCTATAATACAGAACAATCTAACATTTGTGATAAGACAGTTGCGAAACCAAAGAATATAATGTAAAAGATTAAATAAGAGAAACTTTATTATTATTTATTATTTTTATGTTTATACATTAGTTATACAATATGAAAGGCGCATGAGCCATTACAAACTATGAGAAGAAAAGAAAGAATTACAAAACCCATACACGACTCAAATTACTCTAGCCAATACGTACAGTATGTTGTACTTCTGTTTACTTTAGTCAATCTTATTTTTATTTAGTGGGATATTTATTGACAGACACATAGTTTGGAGTATTGTCAATTATGGAAGATTACTCGACTGGTACATTGACAAAGAAATGTGATATGACATCAGAAGGATTCATATATAAATACTATTAAATAGGCATCACTTTCTGAGATGGAGGAAAATCGAAATAATCGTGACTACATGAGGAAGCGATGACGTGCAATTAACCCGGTTTAACTTTCCAAACTTTATACTCTGCATCGCATAACTTTAACTTAAGCAGTCATGCCCTGAAATGCGTTTATATAATACTGTAGCCGCTACTACTTCATTGGGGCGAGAGGATGACAGAGAACAAGATTAATTAAGAGGTTAGGTAACACTGTATTAATTTTCAATAACGTTATGGGATTTCAGGCCTAAGATACTATCAGACTCACTGTTTATCACCAACAATGTGCTTACAGTATATAATCTCCATAGATTATTAGCATCTCTTTGGAAAATAAACATTTAAATGTTAAGTAATAAAACTATTTATCCAATTACAGTATACTGTACGCATAGAACATTTGGAACAAACTTCTCATTAATATTGGTACAGAATACAAATTCATCGAGTTGTAATACAATCATTATCGAATTTAGATGAACGTCAAACACGATTTCCGATCAAGAGTTCCATTGCATATTTGTGATACTATCAAATTCCTTGAGGAAATTCACTTACATATGCATTTAAAACTCACATTTAACTGAAAAAAGTACCGAAAAAATTTTGAATTTCATAAAAATTAAGAAAAATGAATCATAAATCTTGCCTTGACTACATCAACGAAGAGGTACGTTAAATCACAGTCTTTTAATACCCATACCACAACTTATGTAAAAATTTTGTTGATTCAAGGTTGGAGAGTGTTCAACTACTCGTGCTAATAATGCAGACGCTTCAAATAATTCATCACATTACAACTGTCGCGAGAAAAACCAAAATTTAATCAACATGGGTCAGAAATTGCAGCAATTTTATGACGAAATTCTTTCTCAGAAAATAATGCTTTCCGATCTCAGTGAGTCTAATATTAGAGAAGCACGTGAGTGTATCGAACATAAACGCAATCCCAACGTCATGGATGTCGATAGCCTTATCGAAAATATTCAGAGCAATAAAAGATCACCAAGAGATTATTACATGATCAAATATTTATTAGACAAACGCCCGGGTGCCTTTTCTAACAATGACTTGCGCAGGATTATTGTGGAACTTTGCAAACCCTCAATATATGAAGATCATGTTGAAATGACTACGATTTTGTTGGAACTGAATCTACGAGCGTTATTATCCGCCATTCAAACATACAAAAACTCTGGGGCAATTCCCACTCGAAAGTATCGCGAAGAAATTTTTGGTAAACTCGCGGAATTTGCGAACTTTCATTTTAGCAACTCGAATAGTGCTCTCAATATAATTAAGAAAGATTCACAATCAGTGTCTGAGATTTTTGCTGAGGTTGATATTGACATCACGGATAGCAAAGTAAAGAGGCTTCTAAGGAATAACAACATTGATTTCCTTTTAACTGTACTTCGTGATACAGTTCACGATATGGAGGATGATAAAAACGTAAGCGCTGAAGTGTTGCGGAAAACGTATCAAGTAACAACGCTTCTCCTAAATAGTGTTCCCAAATCAATTGTTCCTATTAATATTGTACCATTAAATAATACTGAAACTAGTTTGCTTGGTCAGTTACGCAATATATCTAGTTCAAGATGTAAGTGGTATTCTAAATGGAAACAGTTAATGGAGAGAAAGGAAAATCTTTTCAAATCGATCTTGGAAAATGACAATATCGATTTCCAAGAATCACAAGAACGGGAATTACTTGAGGAGCTCTGGCTTTATGGATCAGTAGAATGGTCAAATCAATGTCAAGACATTAGATGCGAGATGCAAGAGACTTGTAACGCAAGAGCACAAGATTTAAATGCACTTCTCGGAAATGAACCATTAATTCATCTAAAATCTCTTTGGTTCGGAACTCTTGACATCGCACAAGAACTAATCACTTGGACTCAATCAGTCAGGACTCTGGTTATAATTTATTATTTCGCTTTACAATCTTTACTACATGCACGTGAAACCTTCATTCGTTCAAAAGCAATTGAGATTTTAATTACTCTTTCCTGCAAACATACAATGCTCTTTTCTGAATTTGAGTCCGATTTTGAAGAATTCTTGAAAGGTCTAAGAAGCAATGGGACACATAAACAAAAAAAATACAACTTACTTTTTTGTATAATCAAACGTCGATATCAGTTTTATCCAAAAATGGCTAACGAATTTCAAAAACTTCAGTTGAAAAAGAGTGATGTTTTTAGTATTCCATTGAAAATTATTAGTAATGAAATAACTTGCCCAATTACTCAAGATCTCAGTGAAAACTTTCAAATATTGCCATGTGGACATTATGTCAGTGAAGAAGGAGCGAAAGGGTGGACCGAAGAGTGCAAAAACAACAACAAATTGTTTTCTTGTTGCATCTGTCGTACCGAGTTTAAATTCAAGGAAGTTGAAGATGCACCATCATCCTGCTTACGTCGAGACTTATATCTGTATTTGGATTCTATAGGATATATATCCAGACAAAAGACGATTATGACGTTTATTCCACCTGCCGTCATTATTGGTGCCTCTCAAAATTCTAGCGTTAGGATAAGAGGTCTAGGATTTATTAAGAAATGTCATCCTGCCTACAGGAGTGCTGAAGTTGCTTTAAAGAATGAGAATTTTGAATTGGCAATATATTGGTTAGGTTGTGTTCTCAACACTTGGCCAGACAGCTACAGTGTACGCTGCAAACGAGGATGGGCATTGCAACAAATGGGTGATTTTCACCAAGCAATTACGGATTTGAATATTTCAGCACATTTAAAACCTTTGAAAACCAAAGCATGGCGACTCCTTGCCAATTTATATTCAAAAATAGGCATCTATGAACTGGCACTTCCTCACATATCTCGTGCTCTCGAACTCGATCAAAAAAATCTTCATTTCTTATTAATACGTGGCACCATTTATATAAAGTTACGACAATATGAACATGCATTTCGTGATTTTAATGTGATTTTGGAATTTACATCTAAATTAAAAATCTCAACTCGATTGAATTCAACACTTCCAGCCGTTATCGAAATGATTCGTTCCAAGAATACAAGGCTTTTCCAACCTAAAAATAAGTCTATTGTCACCAACACTTTGATAAAACGCAGTCAACTATACTATGAACAATCTGAATATGATTTAGCCGAGAAAGATTTGGACATGCTTTTGCAATGGGACGGGAATAATTTTGAAGGAATAATTTTACGCGGGCGGATTTTTTATAGAATAAATCAATATCGTGCCGCCATCTCTAATTATAACCGCGCCATAGCTATCGATCATAAAAATGAATATGCATTTAATCTTCGGGCATGGGCAAAGACAAAATTGGGTGATTTTGACCAGGCAATTAAAGACTCGGATTATGCGCTAAAACTCAATCCAAGAAAAGGATATTCGTATCGTTTCCGAAGTATGATTTTACAAGAAATGGATCAGTTTGAGGCTGCTCTCGATTATATAAGTGCAGCATATGCCATTGATAATGTTGAACTAGATCATTATTATCAATTGCTGGATATTTACTGTGATACACATCAATATTGGAATGCAATTTATATGCTAAGTGATATAATTGATTCTTACAAAAAGGAGATAGAAGGTGGAGATATGTATTATGTTAACGCACTTATTCAACGTGGGATGATCTATAGTGTTTTACAAAACGAGGAAGAGAAAGCATTTGAGGACTTTCGAGTAGTGCTGAAGATTGATCCGAAAAATGATATAGCATTGAGCTACCGTGGAGGTCTCTATGCTCGCCTTCGTAACTTCGAAATGGCAATGAAGGATATCAATGCAGCAATCAAAATTGAATCAAATGCATACAGATATCAGGATCGTGCTTATGTTTACTATAAGATGGGTAATTATGATTTGGCTCTTCAAGATTTAGACGCATCCGAGCGTTTTGATTCCGAAGCTGCCATTACTCTTAGGCGACGAGCAGAAAGAAGAATGACATGCCTTTATAGAGGAATAATTTATCATAAACTGAGGGAGTATGAAAAATCATTGGAAAATATTGATGAAGCAATAACAATCTTGCACGATGATGAAATAATAATTTCGCTTGTTGAACGAGCTTCTGTATATGTTTCAACCAATCGACTGGGGGATGCATTAAACGATTTAAAAAAGGCATTTGTTATTGAACCAAAGCACGTTTACATGTCGAAGGCCTTGGCCAAAGGGATTAAACTTTATGGGACTATTTATAAGCTGCATAGTCAAAGCACCAGTGCGATTAACTGGATAGCCCTCCACGAACAACATTCCCTGATACCACAGTTGACCTTGAATAAACTTAAAGAAGAGATTGGTGATATGGATGGGGTAGTTGAAGGTGGGAATGAGTTGGTTGAGTTAGAAAACCTATTTCTAGAATTTGAAAATTTATTATCTAGTGCAATTGATAGGGACTATAGCTCGGATAATGAGAATTGCCTAGATGATGGTGAAGATAATTCTGATGATGAGTATTGCCT